CCAATTTTAAAATTGTTTTTTTTTTAATATTACATATTGCCGTACTGAAGCCGTACTGAAACTTTAGACACTCAGGGTTCATATTAGACTTTATTATATACCACAATGCCTGTTATTATGACTTCTTACTACTGGTCTAATCAAATTCAAAGAGAGAAACATTGGAAAAATGCTGTCCAAATCAAAATAATCCTATCCCATACAACACCTCTGGAAAACAGCTAAGCGATACAAAAAATGCATTAGCCCTGTCATACGCCCTAAACATTTCTATTAGTTTGACACTTTTTATTCCAATTTTGGTATTATTACTTATTGTTATGTTCCTTCATCATAAGAAAGATACCTGCCCTTATTATTAGGTAGTCTCAATTTTCTCCCAATCGTCTCCTAATAATTTTAATATGTGTCGCGTATCGGTTGAAATGTTATCGACTATCGAGTAATAATCGGAATGATAATATTGTTATCGGCTAGTGAGGCCAACGGGTTTGCTCTCGATCAATTTTGTATTGTACATAATTTAGCAGTCGTCGAAAAAGAGCGAACGTGACATGTCGGCTCCGCATTATAGTAAAAATAAAAGTATTTAATATTCTATTTGCTCAATTTAATATAAATTATTAATTAAAATAATAGTCTAATCAACCGAAGTAACCAGCAACGGAAACTTACAGTCCACTCCGCAACAATATGTCTGAATTAAATTTGGTTATCTCTTCAAGTAAATCTACCACTTCTTGTCTAGACAATATTTCACTGATTATGTAAATCACTAATTACATAAAGTAAATCACTCCTCCATTCAAATGCCATCTCTATCTGTCTATCTGCTCTTCTATCTGTTCTGAACCATATTTTAAACAACTCACCAAATGTCTACCTTTGGAAATTTCTATTGAATCATCCCCATTTCTAAATCAAACTCTAACGTCTCTTTATGTTCAATTGCGTTATTTCCGTCTCTATTTATAGGTTTTAAATATATGCTAAAATCTAGAGTTGATTGGTATTTGGAATCTAATTTCATCTTATCAGCTAACTTGTTTACATTTAGGAAAGGTACGGACACCATATAATGCCTCTCAACTTTTATTGGGAATATTTACAAAACTTATTAATAATAGAGAATTTTATTTTGCCACTTTTGTCGACAATCGTGGTGACTTTAATTATGTCAACATTCCTACCCTCATCTCTCCCATGTCCTCTCATTGGATCATGTGTCCTCCAAATTATCCAACATTTTGTCTTCTCTTTTTAATTTCAGAAAACTTATTTTATCTTCCACTTTTGGATCCTCATAGAGTCAACCTATCTTTACTAGTCTGCTCAGGGTAGTTGTCGCAGCCCAATATTATTCAACATACACATAAATGTCGTTGTAAGCATCTCCCATTGTTCGGTCACCAATGTCTTATTTATGCAGATGATTTGGTTATTTTATATTTGAGTAAGTCTCTGTGCAATCGATAATATTAACTTTTCAATCAAGCATCTAAATGATAGGTCAAAATAATTGGAAATAAAAAAAAAATTATTTAATATTACTCACACTTTTTTGACGAATTCGATTTTTTTTTTTTGTATTCGTTTTGACCAATCAATTATATTTGCATACGCATGTTTTTGACTTGTGTATTTTTATAACTTATAAGTGATTGTAATTGAACCACAAAGATAACATTGAATATTCAAACGTACTTTGGTACCAATATTATATTACCTAATATCAATTTATCTTTAAACAATTTTTGTATTTTGTAAACAAATATTAATATTTTAGTGTAGTGCAAATCCTAATGAGCGTTCTTGGCCTATTATTGAGAGCGATCACGTTATAAATCTACCACATACAGCATAAATAAAAGAAAATAGTAAATTAATTTACTAGAATCAAATATTAATTATTGATGTTTAAAATAAAAGTGAACAAATTGTATGTATTTTTTATTTTTCATCATACAAAAATGAAATAAATAATTAAACAAGTACATTTTTTACTGTAATGAAATTCATAGTAGCTGTATAATATTATACATTGGCATAGACTGGTTGAGGTAAGCTATTAGCCAGTGTGTATGCGTCGATGTTTTGTCAAACTGCCACTTTCAGAGAACGACTTTTCGCATACATCGCACGCATACGGTTTTTCGCCAGTGTGTATGCGTCGATGTTTTGTCAAACTGCCACTTGCAGAGAACGACTTGTCGCATACATCGCACGCATACGGTTTTTCGCCAGTGTGTGTGCGTCGATGTTTTGTCAAACTGCTACTTACAGAGAACGACTTGTCGCATTCATTGCAAGCGTACGGTTTTTCGCCAGTGTGTGTGCGTCGATGTTTTGTCAAACTGCTACTTACAGAGAACGACTTGTCACATTCATTGCAAGCGTAAGGTTTTTCGCCAGTGTGTGTGCGTCGATGTACCGTCAAAGTTCCACTTACAGAGAACGACTTGTCGCATACATCGCACGCATACGGTTTTTCGCCAGTGTGTGTGCGTCGATGTACCGTCAAAGTTCCACTTACAGAGAACGACTTGTCGCATACATCGCAGCCGTATGGTTTTTTGCCAATGTGCGTGCTTTGATGATCCATCAAATTGCTACTTTGACTGAACGACTTGTCATAGATTTCGCACGTAAATGATTTCTTCTCCATTTGTCTTCTGATGTATCAGCAATCTGCTTCGATTATTAAATAATTTATTAAACATGTAATGTTATTTCATAAAATTATTTGGTTACTAAGGTGTTCTGTTTATGGTCGATTAGAATTTATTTGTTTTACCACATTTTTAAGCCAGTACTTGTTGTATTACTTTTTAACTTGAATTTGAGTATATATTATGCTGAACATAGTTATTAATAAAACCATTAATTTGTTTTAAGTTTTAAATTTTAAATTTTTAAATAATAACATATTACCTAGCAATGATCTCTTAGATCTTAATCTATTAATTATTTCTTGAGAATACATTTTTTAACACAAATGACACATCTTAACATTTGTAGTCGTAACCTCTACCTGTCGGTAATCTGTTATAGTCGGTGGCAGTACGTTGGTGCTGATAAGTAATCTTTTTTTGTGTAAGAAGATAACAGTTAGGTAAATATACAATTATAGATCTATTAGACTTATTTGGACTAATAGCTCATTAATCCTATTCCTTCTCGTAGTCACTAATGTGGTAGTTCTTAATATTGGCCATATTTTGCGCCAATTTTCGTACTTGTAATAAATTAGTGCCACTAATAAGTACCTTTAAAAGTATATGTAATCTAAGTCAAATATTTTTAATTTAGTGTTTACCTGATAAATTAACTGAGCTCAGCAGCTCACATCAATTATAGCACATAAAACGTGGATTAATAACATGCACAAAACAACTTTTTTAAGTTTATGTTGTTGTTATTTTTATGGGCTACTACCAGGGTTGTGAAATACCGTATTTTTTCTCTTGTTCAGTTGAGTGGTTGACATTGTATCATATCAAGTTTGGAAGAGATATCATTTGATTAAAATACACTCGCAAGGTGTTGGGCGTATATTTCGGCCTTGCCTGTCCAAGTGGCAAGTACCGTCTACATTATAAATATGTAGTACATGAGCAAGAGGTCTTTTAATTGGTCTTGTAGATTTTCACAGTGAGTAATCAGTATCATCCGTTGCAGATAAACCACTCAGATACAATTCGAATGTTTTGTTTGTCAGTTCATTGATTACGTCAAGGTAAAATTTTACTAAAACGGTTCCATTTGGTTGTTTGTACGGTTGGGTAAAAGTGTATACATTTTATAACGTGGACACTTTGTATGGTCCTGTAAAATGTACATTTCAGAACGTGGTTAGTTTGTACTAGAAATCTAGTATCTATATACTATATAGTATATATACCAGGGGTAACCAATTAATATTTTTGAGGGGCCACAATCTGGAAATTGTTCAAGGGCCGTCAAAATTGTTAACGTCGGTAAAACCATATACATAGACATATTAATAAAATATTTATTATATTTATTAATATGTCTAAGGTAAAAACCAATGAACAAAAATGATAATTTTCAACTCTAGAACCCTAATATTATCGGTTATAACTTTATTTTTTATTACCCGCCATTTGGTCACCCCCTGGTATATATACATAGTATAAATAATTATAAAGTATGTATAGATGATATAACCACGTCCGAAGTCATGACAAATTGTATTAAAAATGTTATTAAGTTTCTTACAATTTCATCTCATTTTAGACCAAAACTCGTCAAAGATGGTTTTGACTACCAGGCACCAGCTATACCCTGCATATTAAGGGAATGGGCAAAATAAAACTACAGCGATTGGGGGGCAAATGTCCCCCTTTGCCCTCCCCATGGATCCGCCGCTGCCTTCGTCACTAATATACACGGTAGCGTTTACCTACTTAGGTACAATGGTCATTATGAACAAGTAACAACTGATATCGGACACTAATGCAGTAGTGATCGTAGTATTAAGTAATAATTGTCCCCCGAACCCCTCTCTATGCAGTGTCCGGTGTGCATGGTCACGGTCCGTGCCTTGTCGTACCCTTCGATCAACTTGTTTCCCCAAAAGTAATGAATTGTATAGAATCTCATAAATTCCGACACTGACCTTCCTCACTCATCAACAAGCGAAAAACCCCGACGCCAGCCATCTACCAAGTACCGTCTCCGACGCGGTAAAGCACGATTGAGCATAAAACGATTGAACATAGACCTTTTTAGCAACACGATTGAGCATAGAATATTTTATGCGATGTTGCCACATTCACGTTGCCAACATTTTGTAATTTATTATTTTCACATATTATTACACCAATATTATTATGATATCTGTTGCGAGCCGTGGGCGAGCCCCTCAGCTTTATCGACAATGTTATCTTGTTTCCAACTTGGAAACAGACACCAAGGTATATCAATTTAATTTATTATTATCCGACGTCACTTCAGCGCTTCACTTTCTTTTCCAACGGCTAACCACCTAGACGCATCTTTTGTTCTCGATGGCCTATCGAGTACCGACTTGACGTGTACTCAATACGTCTCTGGTGAAACACACAACCAAACTTCGTGGTCTTCCGACACTTCCAAACAAACTGTTTCAAAAACGTGAACTCACATTGGACCAGTAAAACTACACAGCCATGATGGGCTAGGACGACATCGATGGGCCCATGGTGGGCGAAGCCACCAATCCAGCTGGTGTAGCTACGGTGTGTCCAGTCCAGCATCGTCAATGTCGTAATATAAATTTCCCCCTGTCCCCCTTTTAAATGCACGATTATAGGAGTAGCCAGACGCGGGTCCCTTTTTTCTTCTTTGTCCCCGAGTTGTTACAAGCCTCTCACTCTTCTATTGTTTTATACCTAATAACATCATAGACATATAAATAAATGGACTGCGCTTTCCTCACCCCTCATCTATCAGAAACAGAAATGTACATTGAATGAGTGAGATGGATATAGTTGGGGGAAATCATGAAAAAAATTATAATTATATTTCATTCATGCCATGAAATTATTGTAATTTATAGATTATAAAATTGATAAGTAGTGATAAATTATATCATGAAATAATTTGAGTATTCAATTATTTTCTCCATGGTTGTCCCCAACTGCTTTAATCTCTCTCATCAATGTCGTCTCTCTCTTTCAAGTTTCAACTGTCATTTCTCTCTCTAAGCGCAGTCCATTTATTTATATGTTATGAAAACATTTTGCTGAAACGACTGTATAACAGTGTTCTCACTGTTCCCTACATATATTATATCGACCTTACTATATATTATTAAACATAACTTGTTTATGTAATAAACATTTTTAGTTGAAAATTGTACTTTATAGCATTTTTTATATTATTTGTCATAACTTTATATAATTTGTATACATAGATGTGTGGTAGTCGGGCCGTTATCACGACCGAACACCAACGATTACAAAAATTAACGATTACGCGTATACGTATGAGGTGCGCGATGCGCAGTTTATTCACCAAAAACAATTATATATTACAAAACAAGCGTAAGGATCGGGTCGATCGGCGCTCGGGAGGTGAAGGGCTGTCACGTGCTTTTGTGGCTTCCGACACACGGGTCGGATTTCGGCGGCGTCGAGCGAGGGTACACCGTGTGTACGTCGCGGAGTATGTGCTACGGTCACGTGCGCGAGAGGGACCTGTGGTCGCGTCGCGGGATACGGGAGACAGTAGCACAAGAACGCGAATGGCGAAGACGGCGGTTTTCTGCGTGGCTCGAGCGAGCGCGTTGTACCTGGAGCGTTCGTTAGCGACGTCGTGCTTTCACGTTCGCGGTTACCGGCGGAGAGAGCGTTGGCAGCCGCCCGACACTTCGCGGTCGCGAGCGACGCGGAGGGCCGAGCGGTGCTGCCAACACTGGGAGCGCGACCGACATAGGGAGGGAGCATGTGGTGAACACTGGTTCGCCACATTACTCCCCCCTTTAAAAAAAAAAGAAAAATATTTACAGGTTTTTTTTTTTACAAAATTTTGAAGCTGAGGTTGAGATGCTGAAAGTCGAAAGAGGCCGTTGAAGGAAGATGAATGAATGTTGATTGAAGATGCGAATGGAGATGAGTTGCAGCGGAAGAAAGTTGAAAACTGAAGTCGGCGGAAGATGAATTGAAGTTGAATTGAAGTTGACAGAATGAGTTGAAGTTGACGGGCGATTTGGCTTGAAGACGAGTTCTGATGAGGCGGGAAACCGATCGCGCGATGAGCGCGAACCCCTAGCCGCCGTGTACCCGTGCCGTACTTACACGCGCACGTGGGCCGTGGCAGTGCCGTTGTAGCAACGATACGCGTGCGTTCCACACAGGCGGGTGGTGGGCGGTTCGGAGAAGGCACGGTGCTGCGCGAAATGCGGTTCCCCGCGACGGCGGTCTCGAAGATGACGGCTCGCCAACCGTCCAACTGCGATCGTACTCACGCGCGCGTCTCAATGCAGCGGTGCTGCGGGGTGCGGAGACGTGCGCGCTTTCTGCTCAAACGGAAGGACGGCGGGCGAGTGTTTCTTGAGATGAAGATTTTGAGTGGTTGAAGTTGATTGGAGAAAAATTTAGATGTGCGGCCGAAAGAAAAAGTGGGGCAAATTTTGAGGTGTAGCCAGGTTGGTTGATGATGAATTTTGAAGTGCGATATGAATTTGAATGATGATGTTGCGTTGAAAAAGGAAAAAATGGCGTAAGGCCGAAGCTTAAGGCTTGATGCTGCTAGCCGACGAGCGCATGTCGCACGGTGGCCGACAGCTTCTCGCCTTCACACCGTACAGTTTGTGGTAGTAACATATTGTGCTGTCTGTTTTCGTGGTCGGCGTGGACGGTGCGACGGTGGCCGGCGCGGACGGTGCGACGGTGGTCGGCATGGACGGTGCGACGGTGGCCGGCGGTGACGGCGCGACCGTGGCGGTCGGCACTACCATTTTTTTGAGTCGCTCAACCTCGACCGTGAGGCGCGCGACCTGGAGACTCAGTCGCTGGACTTGCTCGCTTAGTTCGAGAACGGGCTCCTGTGAAGTCGGCGCGAAGGCGACCGGGTTGAGCCGCTGCCACCAGCTCGTGGGTCTGGGCGTCGGTGTGACGTGCTCGTTCGACATGGCGCGTACTGGCGCAAGTGGCTAGCGCGTCGCTGGGGCACGTGTCCTGCGTGCGTGCTCGTTTGCGTGCGAGGTCACCAATGTGGTGTTAGGGCCGTTATCACGACCGAACACCAACGATTACAAAAATTAACGATTACGCGTATACGTATGAGGTGCGCGATGCGCAGTTTATTCACCAAAAACAATTATATATTACAAAACAAGCGTAAGGATCGGGTCGATCGGCGCTCGGGAGGTGAAGGGCTGTCACGTGCTTTTGTGGCTTCCGACACACGGGTCGGATTTCGGCGGCGTCGAGCGAGGGTACACCGTGTGTACGTCGCGGAGTATGTGCTACGGTCACGTGCGCGAGAGGGACCTGTGGTCGCGTCGCGGGATACGGGAGACAGTAGCACAAGAACGCGAATGGCGAAGACGGCGGTTTTCTGCGTGGCTCGAGCGAGCGCGTTGTACCTGGAGCGTTCGTTAGCGACGTCGTGCTTTCACGTTCGCGGTTACCGGCGGAGAGAGCGTTGGCAGCCGCCCGACACTTCGCGGTCGCGAGCGACGCGGAGGGCCGAGCGGTGCTGCCAACACTGGGAGCGCGACCGACATAGGGAGGGAGCATGTGGTGAACACTGGTTCGCCACAGATGTATTACTAGATCCCAAATAGTATTTAAATCTCATCGAATTTCATGACTTCATTTTTAATATTATTTATCATTACTTGTTTATATTCTATATACCTACTTCATAGGTGTTGGTGTACTTACTGTATATGTACTAAGTATGTTTATATTATGCAGATAAAATGTATTAGGTAAGTATTCACCGTCTACAATGTACATTTTTAACCGACCATATACAAAGTGACCGTTTACAAATTAACATTGTAGAATATATGGGTGTATATTCGAATGATTATCAGGAGTTCTTAGATTATTATACTATATTTATACAGTTGTTTTCTAATAACGTAATTTTAACAAAATACAGACCTGCTATAGTGCTATACAGACATTTAATATTTGATTCGTAGATTATTTTCATTTCGTATCAGAGATTATTAGTTATTATTCTATGCGTTGCGTGTTTCTAAACCTGTTGTTTCAAATCGTGTCTACCTTCATCTTCGAAAATGATTTTAGACTTTTACTTTTTAGAAAAGTGAGAGATGGTACCTATTGGCGTTATTTATTTCCTGAGTTTACTAGGTAATTAATAATTGTCTAAAACGTTATTACCGCTTACGCAGCCTCGGGTGGAAAATGTTTTCGACGATGAGATAACATATATTATATAGTGGCCATAGGTGGTTAACAATTTAATCCGGCCCCGCGTTGTAGCACACTTGGGAACGGTGCATGAAGTCCAGGATGGTACTTATGCTAATTTCAGACATTTTTGATTTTCTCAACGGTTTCTCTAAAAGCGCACGAAAAATTGGCCGATAATTATCTAAAACTATATCGAAGAAATGTCACCACGGTGGTGGTGTATACGATTGTGCATTTGTCATTTGTGCATATTTTGTACCCGTACGAATATAAATTATTATAGTTTATCATACTTAACGGTACATTATAGTGTAGACTGTAGGTAAATGTAGGTTATGAACTTATGAAAAACCTATGGTGATCATATTATGGTTAATGGTTATCTTGAAGATTATCATTTATCTTTATCTTATATCGCATACGGCAAACGTGCTATGCATTATCGACATTAATAATAGGTATGTTATGATCACGATTTAAGATATCTTACCTATATCGTGGTTATGATGTATTATATTGTTCGATAAATTATCGACGATTAGATAACTGAATAATACATAAATTAAAATAACAAACATTATTTGAGGATAAACATCTTATGATGCTGTATGCTTATGAACTGTCTTTTGATTTTAAACATTTATTGAGACACTTAGGGCCAGTTGTACAGTCTATGATTATGGTTAATCAGAGTTTAATCGGCCGAATTTGCCCGTTTAAATATCTGTTATCAGCTGATTAAGCTTAATCATAGTTTAATCGTAGACGGTACAACTGGCCCCTAGTGGTGATTTCAGATGCATATAGATGCATTTAGATATACATCTATGCATACATGTAAATTATATGGATATAAATGATTATATGATAAAAATTAAACACGTGTTATCATTTATTTATTTATTGCATTACAATTAAAATGTGAAGATCGTAAACGTTATAAGGCTTTAACAATACACTAATTAACTAAAATCTAATATTTTTGCATATATGCATTGTGGTATTTGTTAGCAAACACTATTGTGGTATTTGTAGTAAACACTATTGTATTATACTTTAGGTGTGAATAACAATCTTCACAAAAGTACAAGCTGGGGCAAATTGACATTGGTAATCGTTATTTAAACGGAAATATTATGTCCCTAACTCAACAATAATTTTAGTATGGACCTAATAAATATATGTGATCATAATTAAAACTTGAACTATGTTTCTAACTTGAGAGATTTTATTTGTTAAAAAAGAAAATTAGTTTTAAATAAAAGAAAATATTTGTTAAGTATATTTAACGAAGTTGTGAATGTACTTAGCCCTTAAAAAAGTTATACAAACATATCTTGTTAGATTAATATTATATACTA